TGTATTTCTTTATTTACTGGGTGGAAGTAAATATTACACAATAATAATTCTCATTTTTTCTCCAAAAACCAGATATTCTCAATTTTTATATACATATATATAGTATTTTTATGGCAATATATGTGTCAAGATTAGTGATTTGGTTTGCAAATCAAACTAAGAATCATAAAGTTTTCGGACAAACGCTGGAAGGAGAAATACGACAGCTGTCAGCCTTCGGTCAGACAGCTTTTAAAATGTAGTACATGAGTATGTATAAAAATATATGTATAATAACATACTACTTGTAGTAGATCATCAAGGAAAACATCGATCGTATATCCATTCAGATATTTTTTCTTCTACATGTATTTTGTTATATTTACATTTCCAATGTTTTTGTCCGAGATAAAATTACAAACTGTAAAAATACTTTATTTCTATATAAATCTACTGGTTCATCGAGAGGCGCGGTTAAAAAAAAATCACGTGCGGGGCGGGACAAATAGAGACAGAAGCGGGACTATTAGCACGGGAATTTGCAGAATCAGGAGCATGTAAATATAAGGAATAACTGTCAGATTTTTGGGATTCATGACGATGATCAATCGATCGGCTTGCGTGATAATTTTATGCATAAACGCCTTCGGCGTTTATGCAAATTATCACGCAAGCCACTCGATTGATCACATCATGAATCCAAAAAATTAGACAGTTATTCCTTAAATAATTCATGTATGTACATGTATGTTGCCATCAAAAATACATGTTTTATGTACTTACTAAATAAGGAGACATAGTTTTCTATTCTTGTTTTTTTTTTTTTTTTTTTTTTTTTTTTTTTTTTTTTTTGGATATGGTTGTTGATGATCTCTTGACTTACCATTTCATTTTCGCTTCTGATTGTGATAGTATCAGACAACATATACACACTATAGGACCACACCCCTAACACAGGGAGGACGGTCAAACACAACATTTTCATCAGCTGAAGCTTTTTTCCAGAGTCCGTCAGCGGTTCATCCCGACACAGGCCTGATAAATACACGTAAGCAATTTATGTATGTCTATGGCATTCAGATTGAAAAAGGAATTACATGTTTATGTATCTGAATATCGTTAATACAAGACGTACATCACAGCATGTGTTCATCATTAATCTCTAGGTTACAACGTTGACTCATATGTATATTTCGAAAATTTTCTGCTTAGATTCCTTGTTCACTTAAAAATTGTCTGGAGACGGACTTTGACATGTGCGTATAAGGCCAAAATCAGTAACTGTCAGTTAATTTCAATACAGTGGAATTATATGAAATGTCAAAAATTCCTTTCATTGATATTACAAATTCGAGATTTTGAAAGAAAATAAAGAGATAAAAAAAAGTACAGACATTATTTTCTTCCTCAAAACATATTTTACATCAAAACATAAATTGTTTGATATCACAAATTGATGGGGTTTTTTTTCACAAAATGATGACATTTTTAATTGTTTCACGTTAAACAAACAAATATTTTATATGTTAAATTATTATTACACTGTACCAACGTTGTTTACATTTTATACATCACAATTTAATTTTTTTTCTATATCACAAAATAATAAAATCTGAAATATCAATTGATTTTTTCACCTTAAAAATAGCATTTTTTTGATATAAGAAAATCGGTCTATTTTTGCACCCCCCCCCCAAAAAAAATCAAAAAATTACAATCAACTTTATCTTCTCCTTCATTTTCCAGCTATATATCAGAAAAATTTTAATTTATAGTATTTTGTGCGGAAAATATTTTTTTTTAGGATTCTTGCCTGGCACAATATATTAATTTCTGACAAGGTCATGGGAGAACTTGTTACTTTAAAATTAATACTATTGTTGAATCTTTTTAGATCGATTTTCTGATTTAAACAAAAATCATTTTTGACATCTAAAATTCGAATGTCTTTTGCAAGAAAAAAGAAGGAATCTTTGTAATGGAGTCTGTGGTGTTAAAAAATGATTTTCTTATATTGGGAAAAAACATATGCACTGTAATGATTGTATTTTCTAATATAAAAAAAATCCAACTTTTATCATATCAGAAAACAATTTAACCATTTTAAATCTATAGATAATCAGAGTTTAAAACATTCAGAAATTAACTGGTAAAAATGCCTTTACAAAATTTATTTCACACCTCTTCCAATGGCAGATGGCAAAATAACATCTTGAACATCCGCGCTACTACATTCACTGGCCAAATCCCGCAGCGAAGGCATCCGCCTAAACAGTGCCTCTTTCTTCTCGGTCCGAGAGTCCTGCTTCTCCAATTTTACCTCCAAGTTGCTCATTTTCAATATCTTAAAAAATCTTTGAAATTTTAATTTTATTTACTTACTAGAACTCATGATTAATAAGAGAGAGAGAGAGAGAAAAGATGACTAAAGTTGTACTTGTATCTGGCATTTGAGCATCGTTGCATGCTCAGAGGCTATAAGACCATGTTGATCCCAAACTCAGGTGTATGGATACGAGGGATTTGGGGGCAACACAGGCTTAGCCCCTTTGGTTGCATGGATATGTTAAATGATTCAAAAATTCATTTCACATGATAGTAGAGTCGTTCACATATTTAAATTATATGAAGTACATTGTACATGTAAGCTCACCAAATACATGTATATTATATACTACATAAGTTGTTTTGATAGTACAACTCACTTTCTTTCAAAGTAAGATTTTTTTCGGATGACTTGCACATATTCTTTGTAAAATCGGATGACTTGCACATATTCTTTGTAAACTCGAGTTATAATTATTTCTGAAAATTGATTCCAAATTTGACTACGAATATTTCTTTTAATCCAAAAATGTCTTACCTTGTTTATTGTATGTATTCAGAAACTTTTATGTTTTGTAACTTAAAGAGCGAAACATTGATCTATAAATTACAGTAAAAGCCGCTAACAGTCAGATTAGCCAGTAATGGCTGTAAATGGGTAATTTTGGCCGAAGTTTGTAAATGTTACCATGACAACACGTGTTAATACATGTTCTCGTCCAAAAATTATTGTTATAGAATATACATCATTTCTGACGGTAAACGATGAATCTGCCTTAATTTTAATTCAAAGAGTAAATAACGAAGCAGATGGGCGAACAAGGCGAGCGAAGTGCCTATATAGTGCGACATACATGAAGGTGAAAATTAAATCTCAATTAAAACAAAATTTTCTTTGATATTTCATTTAATATTAGAGTATACTTTATGTAAAATCTCCACAATTTGCAAAAATTTCACAAAGATAGAAATTATTTGGCTATGAAATAGCATATACACACTAAAGAGGGCAAAAAGGATCATTTTCTCATACTAGTACTATAGCACAATTTTTCGATATGAGTGGGTCTTTGCTCCATTTATTTGCAAATTTATCCTCAAAGTTTGCGTGAAAAGATAATTTTTTGGTTAACTAAAAAATGGAGCAGAGACTCACTTTACCTTAAAAACACAACATTCGCATTTTTCCGAGAAATACTTGAAGTCCATTTAGTCAAGGGTCATATCACAAACATGATTTAAAGAGACATAACACAAACAAAATTTTGATGCCTGGATTGATATAGATTTTTTGACTGATTTTGATGAGAAATGACATATATAATAAATCCCTAAAATATAAAGAAATCGTAAGTTTTCTTTGGTGCTTAAATTTGCGACTTTGTTTTGTTATCTATGTAATTCTATACAAAATTTTGCATATATTTTTAACATTGTGACAAAATCTTACAGAGTTCTTCCACTTTTACTGGTAAATATTATTCAGGTTACTTATCTGAATATAAAGCTATGAAAAATATTGCTGATTTCTTAAAAGAAGTTTGTTTGTGTTATTTATCCTTAAATACCACTATTCATCAGGAGCTGTGTAGCTTAGTGGTCAGCGCATTAGTCTCACAGGGAAATGATACTCAGGATTTTTATTGCTATAAAATAGTATTCGAACCCCACGAATACCACATAATTTTTTAATAACAGAATAATTTTTGCAGAGAAAATTTTCCTCAGAAAAGTTTTGTTTATCATAATTTCATAAATTTCAATTATGATAACTTTACTCTAAACACTAAATTCACAAAATGAATATAATTTTTACATATCTGAAGCTGTAGGCATTCTGCACGCCTTCTTCACCCATCTCCTTGTTATTTGGTAACAAATGTAGGCACAGCGGAAGCAATTTCAGTTGGGGAGGGCAAATATTTTCAGTGGAGGGGGGGGGGATACCGAAAAATATAAAATTCTTTTGACAAGCAAAGAAACAAAAAAAAAAGATCCTTAAACGTTATATTATTGAGGGGCACAAGCAAATAGTATAGCTACAGCGTGTACATATACATGTATGTTTCTATAGTATTCTATATATCGGCACAATTATTGATTGGGAGGGACAAGACCCTCTCATGGCCCCGGTTCCTACGGCCATGAAATGCAAGTGTTATATGTCACATCCTGGCACAATCAGTTGTTTTTGAAAGAACTATTATATTAATTATTGTATGTTAACATATCGATAATTTTACATGTACGTGTCATCATGTTATTTTTGTTATCTTGTATGGTAACCTATATACATGAATATGATAGGCAGAAATAAACGTATATACTGTTTTTGTATATTATTTTTGTTTTTTACACTTAGCAACCATGCATATTGCATTGTTTAAGAAAGTGAGGGCAGTCGAAGAAATAAACATGCAGAAACAAAACACTGCAAAAAACGAATATAGGCCGCTACATGTATGAAAAACAGATGGGATAGAGGGTAACCACAAAAAAGGGTTAAGAAGAAAAGTAGTCACAATAGTGGTGGGGGTTAATTTCGACTGAGATTCGGCTAAGCTGGATATTTGGACTGACGATATCATTGTCACGATAGAATTGTCAGAAATGACTGCCAAATGAGATCGGGATCGTAGTCTATAAAATAGTTCGTTACCCCTCAGACCTTTTCACTGTAAATTAACGGAAATGACCAAGAAGTAACGAATGGTGGCAAAAATGTCAGCTTTCAGTTTCACAGACAAGTTTGTATTTCCACCCGATTTTGATGCATTGTAAGTGTTCTCTTATGTATTTTTAAATAAACACTGATTGGATTACCAATAAGTTTGTAACAGCTATGTAATAATAATTATCATACCTCTGTGTTTCTTTTTTTCAACAAAATCTAACGACATCACATAGGTCTCATAAATATACATAATAAAAACCATTTCAAAATCCAGTAGTGAAATATAACGTGTGCATTGATATTTATAGAGTTTGAAATAACCAATCTCGAAGAAGTAAATAAATTTGATTTCATTTAATGTAAATACTGCAGTCATAGTTTACTTTTTATTCTTGCTCAACCTATTGACAGTCGACTTCTTATTTCACAGGAGTGTACCAAATTCGGAAAGTAAGGTTTGTGTAATATCTGTCATTGGCAAGAGTGCGTACCATACTAATGCCTCCAAAGCATCAGCACTCAATCATATTTTGGACAGGGATGTTTTCAAGGTAACTGGGAGGAAATTATTTCAAATGATGAAGGTTTTTTTTTAGATTTAGAGAGAATTAGAGAGCTTTAGAGAGAGTACATGTAGTTTGCCAACAGCAACCTACATAGTATTAAAGTACAATACTTAACTTCTGTTTATTAATGATCAGAGAATTTCATTTTTAGTGTATCCCAAAAGAAGTAGATGATACTATTACTAAGGTACACTTTGAGGTTTCATATTTTTTTTCTAATACTGTATGTCCATTTTAGCCCCATTTTTTTTTTATTTTTGACTTGAACAATTAGAAACATATTATAAAATGCAAGCAATAATTGTTCTGCAATTTAATTTTAATTCATAGTTTTGGTTTTTATCAAAAAGCTTGAATATTGCAAAAAACATGCCTCATGATTTTACATAACTACACTGCCATAATATCACAACATTTACTGCATTCTTTCCTTACTTTTTTCTAGGGAGATGTGGAGTGTTTCTATGATGTAGAGAATCAGGTCATCTTTTTACATCTAAGGTCTCTAAATGATGTTTACAGAGTTGCTTCTCTTTGTCAGAGACTGGTTTCAGAAAAATCATCAAAAGTAAGTACTGCTGCCGAGCTGTCATTTCAATTTCTTGAATCGGATATTTATCACTGTTTATCATTCTAAAAATTTCTTTCTTTTATTAAACTAATTTTGAAAGCAAATTTAATTTCTTCTCTCTCCAAGAAGAAATTATGAATTTTACATAGTTTTTCTGAACTTGTAAAAGCTTTTTATGTCTTAATTCACATTCATCATACATGAGCATGTTAAAGGGTTTTTATCACATATCTAAATTTCTTAAAAATGAAACACTATTATATTCTTGAAACATATAATTATTGTTTAATTGTGAAATAATTTAAAAACGGGCGTAATTATGTGATAAAACACCCGTAATATAGGGTTTTCGATGTAAAGATCTCCACTAATTAGATAGGGGTCACGTGGTACTAGATTTTAACGTTAAATAAATAGACTTCATAGGTGTCAATGGCCGATTAGTACTCGTTAAGCTTATCATAAAAGAAAATAAATTGAATAGATTTTTACGTTCAATAAATAGACTACTCAATATATCCGGTTGAAATTTTGACATCAACCATGTTCCTTTGGTTAGGGACGGTCAATCTTTTATGTATGAACGTCTAGCAGAAAGAAATAACCAGAAAATATGGAGAGGTCACTGAAGACGAAGCCATTTACAACTTGGGACTTCGACTAAATTTAATGAATATTACTTAATAAGTTTAACTTTGTAAATATTTATAAATATGGGAATTTTAAATTCTCCTTCATTTTTAAAATTACTTATATATAAATAAATGCTGCATATTTTCTATCTGTTCCAGCACTGAATATCATGTCAGTACTAGAAATGACACTTCTTCAATGGTGCCATATGTCATTACGAAGTTCACAACATTCCTACTAAGCCTAGATTCTGTGCGACTTTTAAAAATTGCATGTTGGTCATTTACTTTTTTTTTTAAAAAAAGGTATCTTTTCCTTAAAATATTTCATACTACAATTCGTGATAGGGCATAAATGATTTTTCTGAATGGAGTTAAACGCCGTAGTGTTTGCAGAAAAAGGCTCCTGTTTCATCTCTCAACCAAGTCCAGGAAATGTAAAAAAAAATCTTCCTAAAACCTTTCTTTTGCACATTTGTGCATCCTAAAGCCACAAATTATACCTTACTAGCTTTCAACTATCCAATTATCACTTAATTATTTTCTAACAAATGAGCCCTTTTGTATACACAATAAGTACTTCGCTTGACCAGGATTGACACCTATGACGTCAGAGCAATGGCGCGTAACATCGGCAATCTAAATATGCATATTGAGAAATTCAAACTTTGAATTGCTGAAACATCAAAAATATTAATTTTCTAACAAAGAATTTTAAACATATGATTTAAATAACATGTAAGCTTTGTCATATCAAAAAAATTTGAGACGTGATAAAAACCCTTTAATGTCTACATGTATTTCATGTCTGACTTTGAATATATTAGTGTCTTCTTTTAAAATAATTAATAAATACATGTATTTAGTATTTTTTTTTCCATGGAAAATGTCTCTAAAATGGTTTTAATATAATATTACGTACTCTGAAATTTCTTTGTGACAGGATTTTTTCTTCCTGTGGCAGAAAGAAGAATTTAGAATAGCTAAAACACTCTTATGGATGTTTGGAGTTTCTCATCTATTATTGGTATGTTTTGTTCTAATGTCTTTGCACACACTACCATTTTCATAAATATTTTAAAATTCCACAAAGAAATTTAGCTTGTCTTATCTTATACAAAGAATTTGCAGTTTCATGGTAATTTTTAATATGTTTCAGTTATCTCATCCAGGAAGCACATTCGATGTTACTTTTGTGAGACTGTTTAGAACCCTAGACAGTATTAGGTAAAGGTTTTTTTTTAGCACCAGGGAAAGATGGATTTTTGCATGCTTAAGCTGTATTTTACATTCTTTGGTGGAAACAATGGAATTATATCATTAACATTTCAGGCTTAAGTTACAGCACAGTGTTTCTGATCAGCTCCATGGACTGCCAATCTCCAAAGACTGGTCCTACAATGGAAGACCATGTTCCCCCCGAGTACTGTTTATCTTTGAGTCCTGCTGTTTTGAATCCAGTACAGAGGACTCAGAATCTGGAACTAAAGGGAGATTATTGGTATTTATGTCCTTTATTCATGAATTTCACATTACTTTTTAAAATTATGAAATAATTGGGCATGAAATCAGGTAATACATGTACTATACATGTATAAATTTGATCTGATATGAATTTCTATATTATCTGTTACACAAAGAGTTATCAATTTTTTCCTCAACTTTTGAGCAATCTGAATTACATTTTCACTTTCTAAAGAGAGTTTTATTATGTTGTTGTTATCTTTGTCTGTCCATCACTCTTTCTTGTCATTTTTATAATTTTAGAGGTACAGTTGAACTTCGGTATCTCGAACACCGATATCTTGAATACCATTTATATGTCGAAGTGATTTGGAAGTCCCAACCACTTATTCTTTAAGTATTTTACCCTCGATATCTCGAATCATTGGATATCTCGAAGTTTTTCCTCGGTCCCATCGAGTTCAAGATAACGAGATTTGACTGTACTTAAAAATTTATTTAGTAGGGATTTAATCAATAAACCTGTATATTATGATTTTTTATTGCCCAATACACATTGTGATAGTCTAATTAGTATGTATTACTATGTAATAGTAAATTCTGGAAATAATTAATTTTTTGGTTCAAACCTTGAAATACATTTACCAGAATTGTAAAATATGTTGCAAAACGGTAAAACAATGACATCCTAACATTGAAACATGCTTTATTAATGTGTAAATAAAAATGAAAACAATGAAGTTATATTTTTCGCATTAAACATGTATTTGTTTAAAAAAAATTATGGAAATTCATTTGAAATCTAAGCAAAAATTGCTTGTAAAATGATATTATCTTGATATTTTTGGGAAAAAAAATCATGATTTATTATGAAACAAACGTTATGGCAATACCAATCCCTATCATTTAAGCATATGATTGGCATGGTCATGTAATACATGTACTACATGTAGATATGCAATAGGGTTTTGAAATTTAAGTCTTTGGCACCAGGGTCACTTTGAAGGGGTTTCATTTAAAAATTAAGCCTGCACAGTCACTGGAATTTCTTCTACATTACAAAAAATTGGAGAAAAAAAACTCTCTTGCATAATGATTAGCTATGGCCTGAAGCTGTGCAGTAAGATTTCCAAATATTTATATCTGTCTCGGAGCTTGCCTGCAATTAACGTTGAACAAACTTGTCTATACACGTACAATGTATATTGAATCAGGAATTGCATATTAGTAATAATGATTCAGATAATATATAAACATTTTCCAGATGAGTGACCAAATATTAATTTCTGAGAGAGATTCATTATATAAAACATGAAGAAATTATAGACCCTGATTGAGGGATACCATCAACTAAAATTGCAATTCCTTACACACTTATGACCAATGTTTTGGTACTTATGTTACTTATAACTGAAACATAAGGAAGTCTTGCATATCTAAAGTTGAATCTGAACTACATATGGAATCTTTCAAACCCCACATGGATCTAATAAAAGGAACTTTTTTTCCCTAAAATCAAATGGCCTTTCACTATATTCAAACAGCAGGGTAAGTACTGTTATTCCTGTCAGTAATTTCTATTTTAAAGTTATAATTATTACCATTTTAGAAAGGTTCCCCCATCAAAAAATTACAACATGCCATAGAAGACCAAATCTACAGAATACTGAGAAAATCTAGAGTTATTACAAATATCAGGTTAGAATAATTGTTGTTCTGAATAATTCTTAAATCTAAAGTATTTTACAGCTAAATCAAAACTGAAAATAATAAAATATTTATGTTATTTATTCATACAGCCAATTGGCTGGAATGATAAACTTTGAAAGTTAAAAAAAATTACTGATTTCAAATGTCATTAATATTTTTTCTTGAGTAAGTGTGCTCAATTCTCAAGCACATTTTTTTGTACAGCAACAACTCACTATTTGCTGTACCAGCCAATCAGGAGTTTGTGTATGTCCATACTGAAAGGTCAGAGGTTACAGACCCAGTGGCATACTATCTGGAACAGCTGCGTTTGAATAGCACAATCGTCAAGGATTCTGGTAAGATAAATATTACTACTGACATGATAATTAGTGTAAATGTGTATAAATTGTAACCTATTTTTTAAAAAAAATTTTAGATAGTTTTTGAATTGTGTGTCCTTTAAAAGTAAATTATTCCTATTATACAGTAAAACTTGTCTAATCCAAACACCACCTATTCCAAAGAAGTTGGCCGGATTAGACAACATTCCAGATTAGACAAGAATATTAGCAATTAAATTTATTGAAAGGCACTTAAAGATTACATCGTATTTGGCAAGGTTTCGGAATACACAACATCCAGATTAGACAAGTTTCACTGTACATGTACATATTTCTTTTTTACTTTAATTAACTTAATGCAAAACATTTCAGATACATTTGTATTTATTTCTTTTTGTAACATAAAATATGGTGAAAAGATTTCTCAAAGGTGTTAAACTGTTCTTTGAATATTTTTGTGTATATTGTACATATCCCAGTAAGTAATCAGAGCACTCACGGGGTCTCTCTTCAAATTACATTTGTAGCTAACTACTAGATGTCTAAGAGCATGATGTTACTTTTCAAGTTCATGCAGGCTTTTTATTTTAATTGTGTCATGTGGCATGCTAGACAGTTCTTAAAACATACCAAAGAAAACCTCACTGATACATTTAGTAGATTAGTATCCTTTATAAATTTACATGTATTTGAGTGATTGTCATATAATGTACAGGAAATAGAATAATACAGAATCTCACCCTCCTCTTAACACAAGATATAATGGTTCCCCAAATCTGGTAAATTCTCTGATATTTTGAACAATATGTTTAAGATCTACATGTACATCTTCATTAAAGTACATATCTAAAAATGGAATTTTTTGCTAAAGCATTCAGAATTTTTTTCAAAGAGCACAAAAGGGTTTATTTACAGTGCAGTATGTGTGATTTATTTTTTTTCAGTTTTCAGATTCATTCTTTTCAGATAAAAATGTTTGAGTGAGGCCAAAATAAGGAAAGAGTGTTTATTTTGATGAATACAGATTGTATTTCTATGGATCTTCATTTAAAGATTATTTACATTTTAGGAACTTTTTAGAGGCCATTTTATTTTAAATTAAAGGTTTGAAGCATCATTTACACCAGAATGTACTTTTGTACTTTAGATATATTAGAATGCCTACCAATGGGATTTAGACAAAGTTTTATTGCTAATAATTTGAGATCGGGATAATTAACAGACATTTTTGTATATATATTTAAGAAACATTTGTGGTACATTGCAGTTTTCTTACGAGAAACAGGTAATTCTTACACTCATGTAATTTGTTCTTTTAAGTTAAGCAATTAGATGCACTGTAAATTTTAAATAATTTTTTCTATTACATTGTGCATGTGCAGTATATCTTATTTATGTTGTTTGCATGGAAACAGATACATAATTTTTTTTTCAAGTCTCAAGTTAACTTCACTTTTTCATCAAAATTGATTCTTGTTTAAAAGTTTGTATTTGTAATTAACATGACAGAGGGACATTACATTAATTAGAAAATCAACTACTGGTGCAGGCTTTGCCAGTTGATTTGATATTTGGTATCTGGCAAATGTCAACATGCTCAGGAATTTTTTTTTTTTTTCAACTATAGTTAACCTTGCAGATCTTCTTTCACTAACATTAATCCATGTTCATTATATTCAACATTTCAACATGCTATGAAATTTAATTAAGATCATTTTTATGTACTATACTAGATATAATGTTCTATCGTTAAAATGATATTGTCCTACAAACCAGGTTTAATTGTGGTGAGGGCTTGTCCCAAGACACAGTTAGATTATTCTAAGTATATCATTACCCGAGCGTGTTTCTTATCTTTGCTCATTTCTTAACTTCAAGTCATGGGTAGAGAGATATGTCTCCCTAACCAGTAATTCATGATGTGTCATTATTTTTTGAAGATATGAAGTTCATCTGCTCCTTAGTGTTTCAGCTTTTGCATACCTATATTCAGTCGTCCAGAAAAGTAAATTTTCTAGAAATGTATGTGATCCATTATACACTTTCTGTTTCCTTCGTAATATGTAAGAATTTTAATGAGAGCACTTAAATCAATTGTGTAATTTGTAAGGTGGTGATATAAAATTTATAAAGTTGAATTCATGCTGTTGCAAATAGAGTTGCCAATTTTGCATGTATTTTCTCTGCCCAAGCAGCTGTAATTTAATTTGGTACTGCTTGGATGAGTCTGACTGTCAATAGCACAGCACATTGTAAACTTATAATTAGAAAGATGGAAATTTAGAATACATCCAATTGTAAATAGACTCACCTCATACCTCCATTGACTTTTCAAAAATGAAATACATATCTTGATGAACACAGCATTAGGAAAACAAGAGAAGGAAAATGTGTTAAAAAAAAATTACAATTGATATATAATTGTGAATCACTTGAAGAATAATTATGTTCTGTACATGTATCACATTCATATTGTGAAATGTATGGTATAAAAGTTGTAGTTTATTTGCAAATTTTATGTTGTTTTAAATGTATATTTTTTCACCAGGAGGCAAATTTGAAATAATATGAATTTATGTGTAGTTCTAATTGTGAATTTCAAGTGACCTGGTAGCCATGATTTAAAAAAAAAATGCACAATTGAACCTTTGATACAAGAGAAATAACTCTTCCATTTAAGCCAATGATTACCAGATAATTATTTAAACATCTAAGATTCATTTTTTTTGTTGATAGCTAGAAATCTTTTTTTCTTGATTCTTTCAACACCTATAGCTATACATGTATATATTATATACATGCCATTGTATCATATTATGTGTATGATAACTTTGGCAGCTTTTTTGCATTTCTTTTCATGAATGTTTGATAATTTTCATTTTGCCACCAATCTTGAACAATCTGCAGGTAACTTGTAGGTGTGAGTATATACCTTATAAATATTAATGAAATTTTATAAGTAATTTCTTACATTACCTACCAGTATCCTTTTTTTTTTTTATCTCAGATTCACCAAGGAGTCGTAGTTATCAAAGTAATAGAAAGGTCAATCAGGGTAATGGATCGTCAGGGTCAAGGTCATCATCCACAACTGCACATTCAAAAGGAGGCAACAGCTTCAAAGAGTTTCTATGGCAACACATTGAGATGGCCTTAGGGAGGGGTTTTGATGATAATGTTGGGAGAAATCCAGTTCCTTCTTTATTTGAGGTCTGTATGAATTTCCTTCATGAGGGATTTAGATTAAGGTAACTAAGTTGCACTACTAGTGGAGTGCCATGATTTGGTAGAAGAAATGGAATGTTTTGAAAGAAAAAATATGTTGGAAGATGAAAGTTGATTTTGGTTTTATGACACAGTGTCATGTGTTTTACTAGGTGACAGGTATTTTTACTTCTTAAGGACATACGCAACGTACCTTACCTACTGATAATTTTTCAAGATATTCTTAATTTAAGATTATAGTACCATCGGATGTTCGTAGACAAAAAATCAGCAGGCATTACCAGGGGTTTTGAAAAGATATCAATAAATGAAAATTCTTGTATAATTCAAAGAAAAATATACAAAAATTACTAAACATATATTCTAGATGTTTTGTTTATCCAGACTTATTCTAGAAGAAGTGTACAACAGCATATATAGACATTAAATGTAGCACTCGATTCCTTTAAGTATGGGAACTCTTCAACTCCAGGGAAAAAGACAATAAAGTTCAAACTACGTTGCGTATGTCCTTAACAAGATCTGTTCATTCAAGTAATTAAATTATTTCCAATTGAGACTACAGCTGCAGCTCTTTTTCTTTCAGACAGTAACAGCACAGACCTGGTTTATGGTGGCTGACAGGCTCTATCAATTCTATTTTGGAGATTCCATTGATGGAAAAGCCCAGGCTCATTTAAATACCCTTAAATCACTACTGGAGACAGATATAAGATTCTCTGAAAAGTAAGACATTTGTCTCATATTATACATGTACATGGAGGCTAAAGATATTACTATCTGTTTCTCACATTGTTAATTAAGAATTTTTATTATTTGTATAAAATTTTGTAGTCGCTGTAATAAAGTTCTACCCCTTGCTGAAGCTGCATACCAAGAAAGTCTACCAACCCACTATGTAACAAATTTCCATTTATCAAAGGTAAATTGATTCATGTACATAATGTACTTCGCTTCACCACCATTATGCACTACCAATATAGTATGTGATCTCAAAACAACTTTGTAGACATATACCATTTGAAGACATTCATATACTGAAGGATTTATGATATTACCCTGGGATCCAATTGACTTAAATGTATTCTCCCCATAGACCAAAAAACTAGATGGTTATTCATTATACAGTCAAAACTCAATATATCAAAGCCCATGGGTTTGAGAAAAAGAATCATATCAAATGAATTGAGATATCGAGGTTACAGGCCTGTAGGAAGCAATTTCAGTTTGGGGGGGGCACAGCCAAACATTTTTCAGTTGACAGTTGAGGGGGCACTACCAAATTTTTTTCTGACAAGCAAAAAAAAAAAAAAAAAAGTCAACTACCAAATATTCCTTGACAAGCAAAAAAAAAAAAAAAAAAAAAAAAAAAAAAAAAAAAAAAAAAAAAAAGGTCATTAGGCGGTTTTATTGAGAGGGCACAAGCTTATAGTATTTATGTATACTATAGTAATCTATATATCGGCAAAATTATTGGGGGGGCACAGCCCCCCCGTGCCCCCCCCCCCCCGGTTCCTACGGCCATGGGTTATTATACAGATAGGAAAAGTGTTGGGACTTTTAACTCACTTTGACATGTCCATGGTACTCAAGAGTTTAAGATGAAGTTCAAGTATTTTTACACTTTAGTATTCTAATTGAAAATGTTATATTTTATGAAAAGCATATATTTATTTTTCATATTTATTTAGTTTTGATGCATACACATGTACAAAACCACCTACTTCATATCATCACACAATTATTCATGTCAGTAAACAATTTACAATACCTAACTGACTTCAGAAATGACATTAAATCATTGTTGGTCTGTTGAAAAAAGGTCATTCTAATGCAACTGTTTTGTAAAACACATTTTGATTGACCAATGCACAAGTGTTAGAGGCAGTAAAACAATCATTAAGGTATGTCACTCGTGAAATTAATTATATCAAGGATTTTTTGAGAAGTATATTTTAGATAAGTACTCATTTAGGATGACTCAAAATCACAAAGAAAATTAGGGGTCAGTGTGCATCTTACTGAGCAACGGTACAATTAATTTGACCTTTTTGCACTTAAATTTTAATTCTTTGGTTAATCACTTTAATCTTTATCATACATGTATTTTATTAGATGTAATCATGGCAATATATAGAATCTTATTTTACCTAAAATAGTTTAAATAATATATATCATTGAACAAATCATGCAAATTATTGCGCATAAATCATTGTGTGACCTTTTTGCACTAAAAAAGTATCAAATTTAGGGTATTAAAAATCTAAATAGGCAATAAAATATTTTCTTGTATCAAACTTTTTATGACTTTAGTGCTGTTTGGTTTGAAGTACTGCATAGTTTAAAATAATGAAAGAAAAAGTTCGGGTCAGTGATGCAAATTTTGAGATATTGATCCAAATATGCGATTTTCGGGCAAAAAACTGTGTAAATTTTATCTTGACTTCTTTAGTATATTTTCATTTCTTGGCAAAGTCTGTTGAGTGAATTCTAAAATTTCTAAAAATATACATTGAAACCTATATCTAATATTTCTAGCATATAATAATGGAAAATATTCTCTGAGTAAAAATTTTTGGGGATAAAGTTCCAAGCTTGAAGATATTAATTATAACAAATGTGTAGATTTGAAGAATTTTCTTCTAAATATCCTTCCACCACAAAAAATAGTCTCCCATAAATCTTGTTTCTTTCTGACTTTGTGAGCAGTTTTTAAATTGAATATTGTATAATTTGCATTGTTTAATTCAAATATATGTTATAAAAACTGAATTGTAATGAATAGTTTTGAAGTCAAAGGTTCTGACCAAACTTTTCTTAAAAGCTGACGAGTGACATACCTTAAGGAGAGTGAAAGCTTTTGATTGTGACGTCACAATAAATCAATGTAAAAACACAAGGTTCCGTGACATATTTCATATAACAAAACTGAACAAAATAAGATGTAAACATCAAACAAAATCCATAAATTGCATTAGAATGAGAATAACTATCTTCTAATTTGGTATTTGCGACCGTTAATGCTGATTTTCTGCTTACGGGTCGCCGGTAAAACTCAGTTTGCGACCGTTAAATCATTATTAATGGTTGCAAAAACCAAATTAGAAGGTAGTTATTCCCTAATTTTATTACTTTGGATTAACATATATAGTGAATTTTGTAATATCGTATCATAAATAGTGAATTTTAACAAATGTTTCAAGAACAATATAAAGTGTGGCAATCAAATTTTTAGCCTCACACTTGCAACACAGATGTACTGTAAGTTACTTTTTGTTCTTGTGAACTTTATTTTTGTGTGATTATACACTAGACCATCTGCTCATGAAAATTTCATTCTTATGCATATTTTTATTATTTAAGATTATATACCACAAAAATAAAAATCTGTGAGAATTTTTTCTTGCTTAAGAATACCAAATTACTATCTCACAAAAATAAGGTATGACATTTGTGAAAATTTCCTGATCTACAGTGTGTACATGTATCTACACAATATTATTTAGATTGAAGTGTTTCATCTCTTGTTCTCAGTTAGCCCAGGCTCAGAGAGTATTCCACCAATTTGCCAGGGGACCAGCATGTGACAAGTATCTCAAACAACTGGAGCAGTCCTGTGAAAAGTTCTGGAGAAATGGCCGACAGCTGTGTGAGGAAATCAGTATCTTGTCTAACCACTGTGTCAATCCTGTAAGTAGTGGAGTTGTTCTCTTTTTGTTTTTATGTATAATGTAGATATATTTAAAAGAATTTGTACATGAAGGTCATGGGGCATTGACTTTTGAATATTTTTATATGTTTGATGCATTTTCAAACATTACATGTATATTTATAGATCCTAGTTTCGTCACTTACTTATTGAGATGTAATTTTGGAATTTTTTTTAACAAGATATGCTTCTTTGAAAATTTTAAAGGATATACATTGAAGATCTCTATTGAAATAAAAATCATAGTATTTGTTTCCCATATGTATATGTACTGCCTGGACTATAATTTTTCATTCATCTTTATCAGTATATTTTGTACTAAAATTTTAAAAAGTTTAAAGCAACAAATTCTTATTTCTAATGGTTTTCTTTGTCCCAGTAAATAAAAGTGAATATTAATTTTAACAATTTAAAATTCAGTGAATTTTACATCTTGTTTGACTATTAAAATCAAATCAGTGATGAATTGTATGGTGTATGAATTTATAGCTGCACAGACTTCCAGATGACCCAGAAACTGATGAAAATAGACATCTACCCATAATGACTCACTCTAGTCAGCTGAAGACAAAAGCTGCTTGTAACTGTGGCAGAAAGCAAGCAGACAAAGAGGACCCATTTGACCATAAGGTACTATAAAGTATATTTTGGTGATCAGGGTACACAGAATGTATACAATGTCATGCAGATAAACAAGTGATGAAATTTACATAGCAGTGTAAGAAATTCAATTCTTAAGTCTTTCAAGTATTACCAAATTGAACTTGGGTATTTTCAGCTGAAGAGTGGATTTTTGTTTATAAATGATAGTTCAAACAATTCTTTGTATATGTATCAAAGGTGACTTGTACAGGCACATGTAACATTACATGTACAAAAAAGACATATTGTGCAATTATATGTACAAGATTTATGAAAGAGCATCTTCAGCATTATTTTCATGTAAAAAAAAAATTGTAGTTGTACAGGTATGGTTACATATCATGTGAGTAAAATTCTTATTGTATAAATTTTCACAAGCTCAAGACCAGGCATCTTGACCAATTTTTGACAACTGTGACAGAATTTGTCAGTTATATTAGTTGCAAGATACAACTGTACTGAATCTAGTGCAATGTGGTGCAGAGCACATATATCAAATGAAATGAGATGAGATTCTTTTAAATGGAACATATTTATTTCCACTTCAGTATTTTATCATCTCTAATCAAATAATGTACCAGCCTTTAGGATATATCAATAGAATCGTGTTAATATGTACATGTACATACAGATGGTTATACATGTAGCGATCATGCTTATTATGAATTCACACCTATATTTCATTCCTCGTAATTTTTTGTGGCCTTATGTTTCAGCCAGAACCAAAAGGATACATTATGTTGATGATAAATTTTAAAGCATATTTTGAAGTGGTGTTTATTATGAATAAAAAAAATCCATCTCTAGCACCTTGCTATAAACATGCTTTACTTTACACAATCATGAAAAAGGGAAGATAAAACATCAGAAATAGTATGTGTGTAATTTGTTTAAGAATTGATGAATTACATTGTTCTAAATTGTAGTATGCCAATTTTGATTTCTTTGATGCCTTGGAAGCATCTTGTTGTGGAGAGCTGGAGCATATAGACTTACCCATATTTAAACCCAGCACATCTGATGCCAAGGCCAGCCTGGTTAAGCGGGCTCCCAGTCGAGAAGAAAAGAAAGAAAGTGTAATTCAAAAAGACACCCTCAAGCATGATATAGTCACTGGGATGGGTAGTCTTAGTCTGGCACTCAGTTTAGGTAAGAATTCTGTTCAACACAGTTGATTCCTCATGTTATGGTTGTAGAAAAAGTCAGAGTAGTGTTTTCATATGTAATTTTTATGAAAATTTCATGAAAAATAGATTTAGGGGAAATTCTAAAAAGGGTGTTCCTTAGACAATGTGGTTCTTGTGGATTAAGGGCAACTCATCCATTCTTCTGGATTAATGCTTTGTAGGGCACCACTGAGCAGTATAATACAGAATCAGATACCTCAGCATAAGCAGAGGATTAAGGTTTTGAGCAAATGACCTTGCTTTAGAGTTATCATGCACCTTCAGATTGTAAATGAGTAACTCATTGCATGTATCTCTTAGTGAACACTGTAGCTTAGTGAAGAACATTTTTATTCAAGGGACAAACAAGATTTTCAATTTATACTTTGACAGGTCAATCTGGTGGAAGTGAATTTCTCCCTCATCAGGATCATCACAGTGGAATAAGTACCACTGACCATTACACAAGTCACCAGAGTGACCAGGAGGGTGGGACAGATGAACATGAGGAAGGGTCAGGTGGAGCACACAGTGTGGATGTAGTGGAAGAAGAGGATGAGGATCATCTGGAAGATGCTGAACAGAGTCCTGATAAAGAGGAAGGAAGTGGAATAAGACAGGAAGTGGATGAATCTCAAAAGGAGGAAGAAGGGTCACCTAAACAGGAAGTGGATATCATGCCCAGCTCACCCAAGCAGGATCCAAGCTCCCAGAGGACGGAGCCAGAGATAACAATTAATTCTCAAAAAGCAGATTTAGAATCATCACAGAAAGAAGAAGTTCAATTAGGAAAATCCGTTCTTAAGAAAGGTTTGTCAATTATTTAAATGTCTGGTGTTATAACATGTCACTAACAATATGTTGTTTGTCCACCAAAAGAAAACAAAACTTGATTGATGAAGGGAATAAGAATGCAGATTAGATACTTATTAAGTAATGTCCAAGAAAAAAAGAATGTTAATTTATAAATGTTAATTTATAAATTGTTATAACTTTGTATTGAATAGGTGGAAGTGAAACTTTGATTAATATTTATTGTTTAGGGTTTATTGACCCTCTAATAAGAGAGATAACTCTCACTGGGATGAATAATATTTATTTTGTGTTAACAGTTGTAGAGCTCGACGAGGCAGGCACTATGAGGCAGCATTCCACCACAGAGTACCTGTATGGAATGATTCACTCAGATTCTCCCCCACATCTCCTCCCAATGTTTCCCTCCTGGAACATTTGTTGTCTGGGAAAATCCAGCATGTATAATCATAATTCAGGTATTGTAAGAAGGAATTCGAAGTAATAATTGTTGAGGATTTTGAAAGTGAGTTGTAGAATACAACAAGTGAATGAAGTGATAGGATTTTGACATTTTTATTGAGCATTTGATGAAAATCCAAATGTGACTCTTTGTTTTTAGAAGGTATTTTGTGTTAGGGTATCCTTGACCTGAAATTCCAATGTATTTTATCAGTTTTTGAAATCCAGACAATTGATTTTCAGGATTAGATTTGCCAGGATTTTTACATGGAAGTAATTTTCTATTACCATGGGATATTACGGTAAAGGCAGAAAAGGACAAGTGGCCATCAATAGGGGAAACAACGTCAAGGAAAGGAAAACAGAAAAAGAGCAATAAAGGTATTACTGTAATGTATGGATAAGCTGGTGCACTCACATCAGTACACCAGCAGGATTCGAAGCATTTAATAAGCATTTATGCACAATGAACTATAAGTCCATATTTTTTATTTATTAAAGAGCTAGCTTCACTTTATGCATAAAATGGCCCTGTAGATATACCAATTTATTGACTAACAGTTTATCTTCCATTTTAAATATCAAGGTAAAGTAGAGACTTAGTACTTTCATTTCCTATTAAAAATTTTCTTCTTAAAGCCAAGGTCTTGGAAAACAGGCTTCATGGAATTGCAATGTTCTTGAATTTTAAGGAAAACAAGTATATTAGGGTACTTTCACAGAAGAGAAATAATATGAGCGCACCCTCTGATCTAAAAAATAAAACATGTTTTGTAATCCTCAGAAATAGTTCTATCATTTGATAGTTGCATATTTTAGATCAGAGGTTGCGCTCTATATTAAATATCAAAAAATGGCTTTAAAAATTGGCTGTTTTTGTAGAATTTTTCAGGATATGAGGAAAATGACGCATTTCATGACGTCATAATGCATTGACTAGCCAGAAAATTACGTAATTTTTGATAGATACGCAGTCACCAAAGATCTAAATGATATTTAATGTATTGCCAACTAAAACCAAGCAATTTCAGTTTTTCTGAAATTCACAGGGCCAAAAAAGGCCCTAAGTGAACCTTGTTCTTTGATATACAGTGTACAGTGTACATGTATGTGTTCAATTGTGTGTATCACTTGTATGAATGGTTTTGAAATATAAATTGATAAGTATCAAAAAGTCCATTTGTACATATATATATATATATATATATATATATATATATATATATATATATGTATATATATATATTAATATTTCTTCACTTAGGGCAGTTATGTTAGTTTAAGAGTTGTTGTAAATGTGCTGTATAAATAAAAATTAATTTCGTTACAACGTGTATTGGTAACGATCCTCTAATAATACTAATGTCCAAATAACTGTATCTCACTTTCATTCTCATTGACTGTGTAGTGTAGGGTAGCGCCGCGAGAATTCCATCGGCATCAAAAGCAAGTTTTTTGACTTGCCTAGATAGCCGAGCGGTCTAGTGCACTGTTCCTGTACTGCTAGGAGACAGATTCCGTAGGTCGAGAGTTCAATCCCGGGCTGGGGCGGAAGTGGCTATCCTTGTAAAAGTGAATTTCTTTGTGCTTTCTGTATATATATATATATATATATATATATATATATATATATATATATATATATATATATATATATATATATTTATATATATATATATATATATATATATATATATATATATATATATATATATACATATGCACATGTACTATATTTCCTATGAATGTGAAATTTTAATAATCTGTCAATAGATTTATTTTGTAGAGGTTGGAGAAGTCAATTTGAGGATCTACCTAGGAGATGAATATGAGTGTCCTCGAGGACACCGTTTTTTCTGTAGCGGTCCCGAGAAGGTCATTAAGGTTTCCAGTTCCAGCACAGTCAAGGTCAGATGTGATGTCAGCATTCTCATTGGATGTTATAATTGCTATAGAAATATACAATAATATTTTTATAAGTGTTGTGAATTTTATTTTTGCAGGATAATGCCACCAAATTAGTCAGCTTGGATATGCCATTGTATTGTCCATGTCCTCAGTGCAGGTAAGCTTAGGTATATGGAAAAGGGAGTTTAAACTTTGATGTTAACATTTCTCTGGAACTCAGCTGTTGGAAATTGTTTTAGTAGGATGGAACAGTACTACTTTTTAAAACCATCAGCTGTGAAAGACTCATGTACCAAGAAGGTTTAATTTTTTGCTTAATTACGTTGACAAATAGAAAAATAAATATTCAATAGTAAACATCTGTGTAAAGGTTATTTGAGAGCTCTTTAACAGTGTGATTTTAAATATCCCCCTTGATATGTAATACTACTTGTTAAAATGTATTATCATGACATCAAGCTTTAGCTTGCGGAGCATCTAGTATTCATGCAGAAATAATTCCTTTTTACCTCAGCATTCAGTTATTTAGGCAATTTCCTCCGCTAGACTAAAACGTCCTTAACTTTTTCAATAAAACTTTGAAGAAATGCTTATTTCTTAAGATAAAAATTAAAATAATCTATATTTAATAAGAACTTCAAAAGAAAAAATATATTTTGAACTTCCATGATTTAAACTTACTGATGGATCTCAAATGAACTGATGACATATTTATGCTGTTTCCTTTTGTAAGAGCTAAGCTACCATTAATCTCAGCGAGATTCGCCCAGATAAAAATTTTGGACAGACGTCTCTTACGAGAGGCCAAAATTTTTAGTCTCGACGAAACTCGCTGAGATTAAGCTACCATATCATTTTTAAAAAAAAACTTATCTGATCCCATTGTTGAGTACAAGTTGTAAACTTAATACATTCAAGACATGAAGAAACAATGCTTATATATTGATTAATAGAGGCATTTTGATTGAATAATACTGAAATGAAGCCTTTTTAAGATCTTCAGTTCAGAGTTAAGATTTAACACCCTTGAACTTTGTTTACTTTCGGAGGTGTCAGGTAAATTCAGACCCTTTCAAATTCAGACTGGTGTATTCGGTTCCCCACTCCAAATGTTGATATTTTTGCCACAATGTATGCCACAATTTAATCTTATTTGTATATTCACAAGCTTAGACTTTAAGTAAATTTAAAAATTCTTTGGTGAGTTGCTTTTGAAGTCCTTCAGGCTTTTGATTGAAATAAACAAATGTGATATTTTATACACATATAGTTTGGTCAATCAATTATGACAGATTTGAAGACAATTGACAATGTCTTGTTTTCTCGCTCTTTATTCATATTGATTTGTTGTGGTGGTGAAATTTAATTTCTTTTTTTCAACTTCTTAAGAAAAAAAAATTCTCCTTACTCCAGTACAAAAGTTCATCACAGTTGCAGTCCTTTACAAAACAGCTTTGACCTTATTTCCTTTTATGCATTTATATAAAAAAGATAGACACCAACTCATTGATATTAATTGAATTTTTTTTTAACAAAACAGATAAACAAACAGCAAATTAATTATTCTTTTTAAAGACTTTGTCATTGAATTGACAGAACTATCTCTTATAAATGTCATATTTTTGATTTTGTAATTTTCATGAGAGTGGCTGCAGATTGTGTTCAGGGATGGTGTGGCAAAGCTTAAATAATTCCTGTATCTTTTCAGAAGCACAAAGGGATATGTAGCACAACTGATGAGGGTGTATGTATCCACTCCAGAGGGACCAGTAAGAGTAACAGTTGACCCCAATATTCAGCCCTCAGCCCCGCCTTGTCCAGTCTTCACTATGGGAACAGAAAACCCTGTAGAACTGCCTGCTGGAACTCTCTGGGTCGTAAGACTTCCGTATCCTTCATTTGATCAAGATATCTTTATTTGTCTGCAATTTAACATATGTGTATTGAACTTGCAGCTGACAATCTCCTTCTTGGCCTACTTTTCATAAGTTTGATAATTATTTCATTTAATTAAAATCAGTCTTATAATTAAAATAATACATTTAAAAACTCTTAGCCTGTAGGATAGCAAATCCTCATTAAAATGTATAAATAATTTTTATAAGTGTTATATAATTATTATTCTAATTATGTTATTCTAATTGCATAGAAAATGCCTGCTTAGTTGTGGGAGTGACAGTTAATGGTGTTAAGCTTAAAATCTAGGGTAATGTGTTGTGTTACATATTTAATGTTTTCCTTAATGACACCAGACATATTTACATGGGTGACCATGGACCCTATACCATACCAACAGACTCCCAGCACATGCAGTTCTGTCGAATGCTGAAGGGAGTTTTCAGCTTCAGAGACCTGAACAAAAGTCCATGAGTCATTCGTCTTGATTAGTGCTTGATGGATGTGTGCTGTATGACTGTTTCAGGGTGCAATAAATGTGTGTACAAATAATTGTGGTTGATGATTCATTTTTATCCTATAAAGTAATCTTTGATGATGCCTCATTCCAAAGTAGTTAGAACAGAAGTATTTAGATAAGAAACTGGGAAAGAATTTGTTTTTACTGTCACAACTGAGTTATTGCAGTATGGTAGTCTTGGTCTTTGTAAGCAGAAACAAATCTATTGTATCTATGGTGTAATTTATTTGCTTTAGTTTTTGGTATGCTTTCTGTTCTCCAACTTGACTGAATAACAAATCAACAACCTCGCAAAAATAAATGCAATTTTTATACCCCCTCTTCCCCACAAACGAAGTTTTGGAGGGGGGGATATTGGAATCAGCATGTTGTCTGTCCATCCATCTGTAGACGTGATTTTGTCCAGACCTTTTCTAGGAGATTATTTCATGGATTTGTATGAAAATTTGTACATTTCATTCTTCACTATATGAAGGTGTGCACCTGGTATTTTCATTATGATTTGATAATTTTTCGGCATTTTACAGGTGGTTTTTTTTCTTCATTTTTATTGACTAAGTCATTTTGAGTTCGTGTAGGTTTGAGACTTAGAATCTAGAACTGCCAGTTGGTACATCTTTATAAAAATGTGAATTGCAGCTTAAAACTACTCATTAAAACTCAAAAAATCACCAAAAATTAAAAAAAAAGTTTTTTGGTAGATAATCCATACAAATCTAAGAGTTAACAGTAACCTTATTTAAAAAAGTTGCATCAAGATAACACGGTTCTTTCTTCTTTTTTTTTTCATTATATAAAACTTTGTAACAAATTAAAACAAAAGCTTTGTTTTCAACAGAATGACGTATACATGCATTGTCTATTGAACTACATACTCATTACACAGCAGATAGTGTAAATCCATTTGTCCTTTGGGAGTAATGAGTGGACATGCATCCAGTTGAAGATTAATTAATGAGTTCAGAGTGGGAAGCTGTTAGAGCATCTCTAATCTAGCAGGTGTTTTCTATATCTTCTGGGAAATGGGCAGAAGAATTAAAGATCTCTGTTCTCTAACTCTCTTAACTGTTATTTATAGTCTAGCTGTCAAATTTAATTACATACATGTAGTTACTGGATGACCAGTCTTATTTTAAAAATGAATTTGGTATAAAGTTATCGATTAATTTGATATCGTATATGATATTTTTTTTATTCTTTTTCAACAAACAAATTGCAAAGTGTAACGTCTCACAAAGATGACAAATGCAATTTATTTTTTCAATCTAATAAAAACAATATAATTAAACAACAATAATTTAAAAATATAATTTATAATAAACAATAATTATAAATATAATAATTAATTAATTAATAAATGTAATTAAAAACAATGTAACAATAATTTCTATTATTGATCTCTTATTAGGCTTCTCCTTATTTAATCGTTACAAAAATATTATGATCAATTATACATGTAATATTTTGTGACTTGGCATCTTTTCTGGAAAACCCAGTGGGGGGTATTTGTCCATTATGGACAGTTCTAGTTCACACTTGAAAAGTTATAATGCAGATGAAATTTTACCTCAAGTGGACTGTTGTAAAATACAGACCAGGGATGTCTATGTATACATTCTGCATACTCTTTAGCTGAAATCTTGTTTCCAGGAAATTTTAGAACATTATTATGTATAACAGTGAAATGTATTATATCCATGTGCCAAAATTGATATGGCAGGAAATTTCCAAACATCCTTTTTGGGTTTTGTTTCCTGTTTGGATAAAGAAGATATCATTGTAGCAATGATCAATTATTTTAGCGATCAGCAGCCAAAACGTGACTTACTTTGGGCGTACATGTATATCGATTTTGGCTTAATCCTAACATGAACTCCTTAAAACTCAGACTTTTTTGGTCACATTTTTTCATATTCTTTTTGATCCAAAGCAAAGATAGAATAATTTTTATGCATCTAGATGTCTACTCGCAAATAAAAAAGTGTTTAGTTTTTCCGTAATTCTACTCACTAGGTGTTTTCCCACGACTTTTATTGACAGAAAAGGTCGAAATGTGACCCAACTGGCTCTTGTCAAGTCTTATTAGTTTGTTTATTGAAACTGATAAACTACATGTAGCGCATAATTATGATTACCATAAGCATAAACTTCAGAATTTTAAGCCAGTCTATGAAGTCGGACGACGGTTTACTTATTTTCTCTAATAATATGTCACAGAGTAGTCGGTGCAATCATGGATCATTAAGAATAGATACAGATTGGCATAAGCGCTTAAAGACATGTATTAGATCCCAATAATACCAGAAAATGTGACGAAACTGTTAAACTCTTTCAAAGATAAAAGCAGTATCTTACATGTGGGTGAATTCAAAAATAATGACGGCAATTGATTTTTTTTTTCAAAAAAATACAACTTACCATAATATATTCTTCAATTATAACATCATATTAAAATTTCTGAAGCGACAGTATAATAAAAAAAAATGCTTTCTGAAAGTGTAAGAATTTTTATCAGTAGAACTTTATTTGAGAAAGAAAATAATGCTACATCCTAAAAGACTTTCTAAAATACATTATCGAAAGAAAATTTAGGGGGGGGGGGGTTATCTATCAGACATTTGTCAGGGATATAAATGATAAGATCTAAAGATTGATTGAGTTTCTTCTCTTGTTTATATGAAAAAAAATGTCTATTTAATTGTTATTTTGCATTAAATGTGGTTTGAAAACTTTTAACATGAAGGAAATGTGGTATAATAAATTCCCCTAAAATAATTTCTTCGTCCATTTAGTCATTTTTTTTCCAAATCTAAGCCAAAAAGAGATATTTAATATATGTTTTCTTACAAAGAAATAATAGATTTTGAAGTGATCGTATTTTACCTTATTTTGATGCACTCTTGACATCTGATATTTTTTTCATTAAACATCGTTTTAAAAATTTTAACATACAATAACTCAATCAAAATTTGTAAAGCAGGTTGTAGCTTTGATGGGTTTTTTTTTTACATTCGAAGCAAGTTTTTCAGATTTTCTCGGCGTCAAAATATGATTATTTGCTTATGTTGATAGATTTATTGTAAAATATACGTTTAGTGATGAAAATTATTCTGTGAATAGATTGTAAATTGTGCACAAATATCACTCTGTAATTTGTTGATAGACAGTAATCTCAATTTCAAATAGTATCAATTATTTATTGCAAATTATTTTTCAGTAATAATGGAAGAAGTTCATTAATATTTATAAAACGATTTTGTTGCACTCCTGACTTCGGTAAAATTTAAAATTACAACGGTACCAAAGAGTACAAATTTTTTGGCAACAACAAGTTGTAATGAACTTGTGCAACATTTACCGGTAAAGTCTCAATACTTCATTGTTAAAACGCATAAAATTGTTTAAACTTGGCTTTATATATTGAAGTATTCCCTATTAATGACACTAGATAAAAATATATTTAGAAGATAAAAGTAAATTTTATAGGGCATTTTACTTTATATGACAAACATTAAGCAATTGAGGCCAACCAGAAACATTCTACTCATCAATGTTTTCTTTATTCAGAATCATCGATTCTGGTTTGAATAGTTTTAGTCTGAAAGAAATATGATACACAAAAATTCGGCCAAAATAATTTCTTCGTCCATAAAGTCCATTTTATTTCAACATTTTTTTCAAAACATGATTTCTTTATTCATATTTGATCATTGGAAATTCTAACATTTTTATTGCACTCTTGACCAAGAGTATGCGGGTCTTTAAAGTAAAATTGTGAAGCATAAATTACACCTGAATGTGTTTGCTGTTCAGTGAAGTTGTGGTGGAATTATTTGAATTTTTGTAACAATTTTTCAATGTGTATTATTATTATTTATTTATTTTTACATTTTGTTAAGGTCAGACGACACGTTCCTCAAAAATATATAATTTTTCCCAAGAATTTGTCATTGAAGTATTGCTACTTAAACAAGTTTCCTCACCAAAAATTGAGGTACCTTACCAGGCACTTGGGCAAGATACCAGAGGGTGATATTTCTTATATAATCCATATAGGTAATCTTTTGAATTGCCAATGTTACAATTTCTGGTGTACTTATTTTTAAAAACATATTAAAAACAATTAAGAAATCACAAGAGAATGACAATTATGAATAATTTTTGACATAATACCAAGGTATACAAAACGTATAATTGAGTAACATGTCGTCTGACCTTAAAAAAAAAGAAAAGAAAAGATTAAAAAAAAAAAAAATCTAGATTGATTTAATTTAAAAATAGACAGATTTCAGTCATTCAACTGTCAATAATTTAATACTAAATAATTCAAATAGGTCCTTATTGCTAAAAGAATGCATATACTTCTTATTATTATGAATATAAAGTCATTTAATCATTGAACTTTGATCTTTAAAAAATGTGTTGCACTCCTGACTGAGAAAATATGTATCTGAAACACAGATAGATCCTTTAATTGATTAATTTATTTTGTAAAAATGTTCTTTCTGTTTTTATTTTCCAAAAATAGAAAGCAAAGAATCATATACTGATAAAAGTTTTTCAATGTTGGAGAGCAAAACATCAGTTGTTGCACTCCTGACATAAATGGGTATGCACAGATACTTGAATGAAATATATGGAGATAACGAACAGTATTCAAGCTCAAAAGTCCATTATACAATACAAAATAGGAGCAGAGCAAACACGGACCTCCAAACATCAGAGGTGGGATCAGGTGCCATGGAGGAGTGAGCATCCCCTGCCGACCGGTCACACCCGCCGTGTGCTCCTTGTCATGATCGGGAAATAACGGAAAAATCCGTCGGAAAAATCTCATTAGTGCTGCTTGTAGTTTATATAACATTTGTAACTTTTAATGGTATATCAGCTATTGGTTAACAATGAAAAATCTTTTTTGACTAAATTCGTATATAGATGTTTAAAATCAATGCTTTCTTGGCAACATTATATTTTTTCTGCTGCACCCCTGACATGGTATAACATTTTTTTAGCATCTGCCATGACCATAACT